ACCCCCCCCCCCCCCCCGGTTTGGGACTTTGAATCTGAACTGAACAGCCACATTCACATGCTTTTGAGTCAGTATCAAAGCAGGTATGATATAGCAATAATTAACTTATCTGTATTGGGTTTTGAGATTAGTATTTGCAGTAATATAATTTAAAACCAGTAAACAGGGCTATTCATTGCAGCACTACCAGTTCTTGCTCATGTTATTCTGCTCTTGTTTTTTCCTAGAATTCAAACTAACATCTCTCTTTCATCTGGCCATGACCTGGGAAACCAGAATCAACTTCCAACCATTGCTTGTCAGAATCATCCATAAGTCTCGATTACGTTATTATGGAAAACCAAAAACAAAACTAGATGTGCCATATCAGGTAGGAATAGTTCTGATATAGAGTTCTTTTACTAAGGGGATCTCACATGTATTGTTTTATTAGTAATAATATGATGTGAAAGGATAAAAATCTCACCATGTAAGCAGTGGCTGCTACAAAATACAATGACACCAAATGATGCCACATTTTTCAGTGATGTCATCATCCAAATGCCACCTTTATGTACTAGTATCCCAGTTGTCTGACACAAGTACTTAAGTCGTGGCATTTGTACAGTGATGTGATCAGCACATTCCTCTATACTACAGTAATATGTGATTAAGTAACTACCTGTTTGATTTTTTTAGAAGTTTATGTTGCTTAGCCAGTGGTGAGGGAGGGAAAGCAAGTATGATTCTGCATCCACTATTAGGAGAAATGAAAGGGGCTTAATTATATTAAATTAGATGCCTTCTGTAGACTGTTTGGGTAGTTCAGTGTTCTGACAATTCCCCATAAATATGTTGTTACTTTTGTTACTGTTTGTTTTCAGATATTATGTTCTATTTGATGATGCTTCTGCTAAACAAGCTTCATCTTGTACAGGCCCACTCCCATGATATCCATCCTGATGATTCCTCTGTTTTGGGAAGAAAAGTCTCCTCTCTTCCATTTGCTCTCCATTCATTAATCTTGCCACAATACACACTAAGCCGTAAACTAAGTCCAATCTTTGTTCCTACCTTATTCAGCCCTAGGTGCTATCTCTTGTTGCTTCCTAGTTTCAATTTCTGTGGAATTTCCGCTTTTAGGATTGGAATTCCACAGCTTAATATTATATGTGCTTGATTAAAAATAAGTCCTGCTGAGTTCAGTGAACTTATATAGGTAAATAGATAGGAATGTTGCCTTTAATGTAAAAGCTTTCTGAATGAGAGCAGTAACACTTCTGTTTTTGTAAAGCATATTTATTGCACGTAGTTTCTGATGATAAATTTAGGAGCGAAGTGGATAGAATGAAAAGTATGCTTCAGCCTCAGGCATTTAAAATAACATTTCAGTAACACAGTCTTTAACTTTTAAGAGCAAGTGTTCTTATATTTTCAGGCTTATTTTGATGTGGCTGATCACTCTGGTATGGTGTTAATGGTGCTGTGGGGCTCTTTATGCCCTGAATGGTATCACAGTATGAAAATTGGCACAGTGCTACTGCTTGAAAAATATGCTGTTAAAAAAAGTTTATCTTCTAAAACACAGTCAAGTCCTGGAGATTTGCAGATGAAGAGATTCTGTTCAATAGGTTAAGTATCCCAAATATGAATTGAATTTTTTTTGTGTAGCCTTGGAAAATTCATTAGCTTGCTGTCAGGCAACAAAAGTCCATCTGATCATTCATTTTGCCTGTATACAATGATTATTTGAGACAAAGAATATATGTTTGTTTGTTACTTCAGGCAGTGAAGAAACAGCACTGTCATAACCAGTCAGTCTACTGCAGTAATCATTCTCAAATAGCAAGAAGCCATTTTCCTACTTGGCTGCACAACATGGGATCTGTATCTAATCCATATCTTCTCAGGAGGGCTCCAACTGCCACAATTAGCTTCCAATTATTTTGATTCGCTTGCATCTTGGTGTCTGATATATAGGTCCTAGTTTTCCCTTAGGACTGGTTGATTGCTCTCAGCCCTAAACCAGGAAGTCAAAGAACATCAATCTGCCAACATGCACTGGACCAGCATGGTTGATTTCAGTCCATAACCTTCAGTGAAGAAGCCTTCATCCTGCAGTGGATCAGTTTAGGCAGATAATAATTACATACAAGAAAATGTATAGTCAAGAAAGTGACGTGCTTTGTCGGACAGAAGGAGCAATAAATGAAAACTGTTGATGAATGTAAACAGTTTGACAGTGATTCTAATTGTCTCTGTGAAGTATTAGATTCAAGTTTGTCAGTCTGAGACTTTTGAAATATATTTCTCAATAGGTCAATGGAAGCAGATTTTTGCTTTCTGGAAGTGCTAATGGGGTTCGTTTAGTAATGGAAAGTTAAAAATAACGTAGGCGGGAGGAAGGTCCAAGTGAAGGATAGGTGCAAATTAAACAGTGAGAATATTAAACTGAAAAGCAAGGCCTCCTGTGGCATAAATAGGATGCTCATGTAGTGTATAAAATACCTAATTATCTCTCATATCTTTAGTAGGCTCTTTGTTGTTGCTTGTTTTAGAATATTGAATAAATAATTTGAAGTCCACAGTAAAAGAATAGCACAACCAATTCTAATATATTACTCAAATTGCACTGACTTGCTCATTTTTATAACACTATGAATGAAACGTGTTTTTTATGTCTTGATGCGTTAATTCTAAGAATATGGAAGGGGATGTTTATGCACTGATACTTCATTAGTGTTTCCTTGCACATGCCTGCCTTGATTCAAATATAAATACTGGTTTTCCAAGACACCCATCATAGTTCCTTTGAGATTGTTATAACCAAATTCTCCTGTTTCTTATGAATATTGATAACCATTATTCACTGTAGAACAGTTTGCTACGGTTGTCCTTTCTTATCCCAGCTGGTAGAAGAAAGAAATAAAGCATTTTGAGAGCTGTAGTTCTCTTGAAGAGAATTCCCATTTAGCAGTTTTATGTGTTTCTTCTATGTACCTAAGTGCTCAGGCTGATTTCTACTGCTCAGATATCAGCATTCTTTCCTGTAGCACATCTCTTGTAATTTATCTGTGATTTGAGTGGTCTTGGAGGGGCCAGTTCTGCAAAAGGAAGTTATGTTTTGGAAGAAAAGGACAACAGTAAGCAGACAGTAGAGCTTTCTAAGAAGTACAAATGTAGTATCTGTCTGCAACAGCTTTAAACAGCTTGGGGGGAATTTTTTGTCCTCAGTGCTTTGAAGCACCATTTGAGGTTCTTCTAACATCATGTTCATGTGACTTAACCACATGCCATTCCCAAAGTATTTAAAATTGGATAAAACAAACTTTATAAAGATGTGTTTGTTTAAATGAACTATAACAAAACTAATGTAGCTGGTAATTTAGCCAAAATAAACATAATTGTCATCATCTGGTTAATTCTTTTTTAGAAATTGCTTTGAATGTTCGAGACCCTCCAGCTAAAATTAACATCATTCCAGAAAATAAAATTAAACCAGAATGGAAGTTGCCTGAAGTTGAATATCAGTTTATAACAAGGTTATTATCATTATTATTATTATTTTGTCTATGTTTTTCATGGATTATTTTTTCCAGACTGGAATATTAATGTTAAAAAATTTGAGAGAGAGGGAGACTAAAAGAGAAATTAAATTCTAGCATTTACAAATAAGGTATAATTATAGCCATTAATTCTGTATTTCATATCAACAGTGTTCAGATGATATAACAAGCCTGGATTATCATTAGCCGCATTTATGAATGTTACTTCTGCAAACCTGTTGCCCATAGTTTGTTCTGATGTGTGACATGATGGCTTTTTCTGGCTAGAAGAAGCCTGGGTAAAATTCTGTAAACCAATTTAAAAGGAGCAATAGATTCTCTGTGCATTTATTCCTGATGAATGGAGCCATTGCATGATAAATATTTGTTTCTTTACTTTATTTGTATGCCACCTATTTCCCAAAAGCTCTGAGCGGCTAACTATCAGATATATCACCAAACAAAATGCTCCTTAAAAATAATAAACCCACCCATAAAATAAACTAAATAGAGTATCAAAATTATACAAAAAAGAAAGAAAATGCACAAGAAATGCATTTGCAAATTCAGATCTTCCATCACAGCATGCTCTCCTTCCGCACTTGATGGAATAACCAAGTCTTAACTGCTCTCCTGAAACCCAGAAGAGAAGGAGCAGACTGGATTTCCATGGGAAGGAAATTCCACAGTATGGGAGTAATTATCAAAAATGCCGATTTCCAAGGCTCCATCAGATAACCTTCTTGTCTACGTAGGACTGGGGCGAGTTGCCCTTATGTGACCTGATCCAATAGGCAGATGACAATGGGAGGAGATGGTCTCTCAGATAACTTGGCCAGAGTCACGTAAGGCTTTAGAGGTAACAACTAGTATCACATATGGAATCACATATGGAAGCCAAGTGGCAAACAATGCAGCTCCCAAAGCAGCAGAGTCACCCAGGAATATAGGACCACTGCGTTTTGCATCCACTGTGGCATCTGAATACTTTCTAAGGCAGTGCCCTGCAATTTGGATTGCGTAATCCAAATGGGAGGTGACTAAGTCACAAGTGACTGTGAGCAGGGCCTCCCAGTCGTGAAAGGGAAGCAACTGGTGTATAAGATGTATACGAAAGACCTCCTGGCTACAGCTACCACTTTTGGCCATCACGTTTTTTTCAAATGTCTCACAAGTCAAAACAAACCATGGTGAGGTAGTTCAGGAGAAGAAATTCTCAGGCAGTGCCATAACCTAGCTTGCTGTTTTGTTTGAACCCACCAATTTAGTGTCTGCCTTGGGTAAATAGATTTCTGGAATGCAATGGGTGGCTTTTATCTGTCTGATATCCTAAGAACTGTTGTGCTTTCAATCCCAGATCAGAATTGGATGAGTTAGCCCAGAATCACTTTTGTGACATTATTGGACTTGTACAATATGTTGGACGGATCGAACGCAAAAGAAAAAAAGGTATTTTCAAATATTATATGTTTGACTCTAAAAATATGTTTAGAACATTGATTAACATTTATTTTGTCTACACAGGGTGTGTGGATGACTTTTGGACATATCGCTGGGTACATGTTATTGATGGGACCTCAGAACAGCCTTTCATAGTAGAATTGTTTGCCACATCTCAGCCAGATATATTTGAGCAAATTCACCCAAGTATGTATTCTATAAATATCTCTGTTTAATGTAATTGCTTTCTGTCTAATTTGCTTGGAATTTCAGGAATCAGAGTACTGGGCAATACTATCATAGTTTCTTCTGATTCTTCTGGTGTAATAGTGGAAAGGGTGAACTGGAAAGAACTCTTGGATTTCATTGATTCTAAATTCCATCTGTTTAGTTACAGCAAAATAAACACTGATGCCATGTTGACAGCATATACAGGTTTTCTTTTTTCTTCCATACTCCCATCAGATTGAGAATAAGATAATATGTGAAGTAGCTCTCAGTGCTTATAAACTTTCCTTGTAGTCTATAGCCTTATATCACAAGAGAGAAGGTAAGAAGATATTTAGACTGCATTACAGTTTGGTGACAGCCATCAAGACTTCAGAACTTTTTTTGACCACAGATTAAAAATCTTAGAAGGTGCGTAAATATGAACTTAAAATGTAAGAAGCACCATATGGGATCACACCAAAGGTCCCATTTAGTCCAGCATCTAAAAATCAATTGCATGCTTTTGGTAATTTTACAATTTGGACATGAATGTAATAATCAATATGCATGTGTCCCCACCCCATCCCCACTGCTTCCCTAGGAGTAATATTTGGTGATATACAAGCTATTTCTCATAGGGAGCTGGTGCAATATTAAAGTTTCAGATTGTGGGTGACAGTTCACCGAGGAATGCTTTGTCTAGTATCTGGGAGATGAGTCGTCTCTAGATTTCATCTGGCAACATTTAATTTTCCTGTACAGGATATTTTTCAGTGTAAGGAGGCATCTCGGCACATGAGACTGTGCCTGTAGTTTGCAGTGATAGAGACCAGATACTGCTTTATCTCTTAATCTACACTATATGAGCGCCAGGCCAAAGTCAGAAAATGTTCTGAAAAATAATTTGAATACTCTAGAAAAATCTTAGAAAATTAGTTTAGTTTACAAATTATAATAATTAGTTTGCTCTTGGTAGGTTTTTTTTCTTTCAAAACTTAACATTTAAAAATATTTAAATTTATCAGAATCAGCAGATGGCGCCTCAGGTTTCAGTCATGGACAGGCATCAGTGATCTTTTTTTTATTGATTTGGTCTACGGTTATTATCTATAATGTTATGTTTAATTTTGTTTTAATTGGAATTTACAAAAATGGGGACTTGTATGCTGTTCAGAGTCCGCTTTGGAGTAGCTTATAAGGCAGATAGATAGATAGATAGATAGATAGATAGATAGATAGATAGATAGATAGATAGATAGATAGATAAATAAATAAATAGGTAATATGATGCTTCTCTGTCTCTAGTGACATACTTGGTATGTACGCAGATGAGAGTGGAACGAAATATTTCTGAGAATGGCTCCAATACAGTTTATTTAACCACGTCTTTGAAAAGCCAAATATTTATTACAGGTAAAAATCTTTTATAAAAATACCTAACTTTATATCTAATCCTAATCCATCAAATCATGTCAACTACCTTCTTCTATCCATATCCTTTTTACCAGTTTCTGTTGCCCGTGTTACACTTTTGCAGTAGTTGTCAGGACTGAAAGTGCTGCCCCTTCTCTTCCTTACAAGAGAATCTTGCCAGATGAGAACAGCCCCAAGTGGCTTGATTACTTCCCCTAATTTGGCACTCCCCTGATTATTCCTCAAGAGCAACAGCTTTGTGAGTTCTTATTTGATGCTATTTTAATGTCAGCAGTATGTTTTTAGGTACTGTGTTAATGCAAACAAAGCACTGGCATTTTTATATCCAAATATGTGTTTATACTCTGAATAACTGAATTTATTTCCACAGTGACGATGGACTGATATGCCATCACAGAGCTGGTTTTCTAATACCTTCGTTGGTATTGGCATTAAATACATTTGAATAGCTTGGAGATTTCTGTCTCTGTAGCAATCTAGCATAAAACACAACTCTGTAGTCTTCTAGGAATTATGTCAGAATTATAGAGGAGTTTCATAAAGGTTATTAATTCTCTGGAGTGATGGTAGAATATTTTCAGTTGGTCCTGTGGTGTGTAGTGAGTTTCTCAAGTGACTTAGAAACAGGAGTTCTGCCTCTTTCCTGGATGGCCTGGCGAACCACAACATTAACACACCCAATTGTCACTACAAATTCCATGACATTCTTGACAAGCCCACCTGATGTTGAAAACATATTAAATACTTTTGAATGCCTTACAGCACCATACTAAAAACCAGTGTGGCCCAGCACTTTCAAAAATTCCTGATTTAATCTTTTAATTCTTTCATTATAGCTACCATAGCTTTTTGTTTTGTGTTTTTTTTCCCTTTAAAATAGGATGGCATAAGGGCCAACCATATACAAAAGATCCAAAAGTGAAAAACTTTATCCAGTGGATGAAAACTCAAGAGGAAGCTTCTTACATGGACAGAAGTATCATTGGTGGATATTATCTTCTCCCACCTCTCCCAGATACATTTTTAGAATATTGTAAAAATATTAAGGGTATGGCATTTCATTCTGTAGTCTCACACATGCTTGCCGATTTTGAATAGCCTTATTTGCAAACAAAACATTTCTGTGCAATTCTGCCCAGTGTAAATATTTATAGATGCTGAGAATTCATTATTGGTTATGGTTGATAAGTTGCAGCAAAGCTTATGGTCCTTCTTCGTTCCTTATCCCCTTTTAAACTTTGCAGGATCAGTAGTTTGTCTGAAGTCCTGTTTTATTTCCATGTCAAAAAATACCTGGACGATGTTTGAATTACGTCTCAAAAGTTAAGTGACGCTATATGGCGTCATTTGATTGAAGATCACAGTGCAGATGTAAAAGCAGAGAATGGCTCTGGCTTGTAGCTAATTATGTCCTGATGGAACAGCAGCTGTCAGTGGGATTGTTTTGTTTTCTCCTCATCCACATGACAGATCAGTTCCAGATGGTTGGGGGTTGCTCTAGGACACATGAAGTGTTCTAAATGGGATGAGGGGAAGTCTACTCACATAATACCGGGCATATCCCATAACAACCTAATGTTACTTTCATGCCTCTAAAGGAGACAGACTATAAGCCTGGTTTTCTTAATTGTTTACAAAGTTAACTTATTCGGACTGGTGCTGTGCCAGTTGAAAAAACAATAACAGGGTTACGTTCCTTACCATCTGAATTATACGTATCCCGTACCCATGCTTATTTGGTGGTATTGTTTTTTCTTTTTAAACTACATTTCAGAAGAATTAGCTTTGATAGCCATCAGTGAAACAGAGAAGGAGATTGACAGTTTGCACTACAGGGAACAGAAGCGCATTGCTTTTCAAGGGATAATTAGTGCTATAAGATGTGTCAGCTGTAGCAGTACATCCCAGGATGCCTCAGGAGTGCGACCAATGCAGGTACAGTACTTGAACATTAATAGCCTAGTACTTAAGATAGTAGGAGCATGATTAAAACTGAGACACTCTGCCTTTGAATTGAAAGAACCTGTAGTAATTACTTCTTAACTATTTTTCTCTTACTTTGAACATGTGTAAAATTAGAAAGTCATCGTTTACGTTTTCATGATACCTTTCTTAAAATGTCTTGATGTATCTAATAGTTTCTGCATTGTTTGAATAAAACAGTGGAAATAAATGGGAAGGATAAGTGTTTGAGGCAGAATTTTATATCTTAGCTAAGATCATGTGTTTTTCCTGCTGGATTGATCGTGCTATTTGTGGTAATGAAATGGAATCTAGCTTTTTAAAAATTTCTGTGGAAAGTAGCTAACTGGAAGACATTGTGTGAATTTGATTTAAAATTATTTCTGCAGATCAAGAAAAGGTCATCAGTATGTACTTCAGTGTCGGAAACTGATCATATTAATAAAGGCAGAAGAAAATATCAGCAAGCGGGAGAATCAGCTTCTAAGCAGAAGTCACCACCTCTGGAACAACGAAACATAGTAACCAGGAGTTGTACAAAGAGACAGATTGCAACTGTGGAGTAAGGGAGGTTTTTTTGAAGTGGAATAGAATCTCTAGTCCCTTTGGCATTTGTGTATTTTAGCTTATACTGTAGTCTCATAGTCTTACTTCTGCTGATGCCTTGCACTGGGCATATGCAAATTACTCAGTTTTCAAGTGGTCATAAGATGTTTCACATAATTTTTTTTGGCACAGGAAATCATAGTTGCATAGCAGTGCTAGCTAGGTAAGATTGGGTGTCTAGCGTTGATCTTGCTAAAATGAAGTCCGATTAGATATTATAAGTTAGTTCTAAGCTTTGAGATGGCAATAGCAGTTAAATAGCAACTCATTATTAAATAATAATTTGCTGTGCATCTTTACAGGTGCCAAACATTTTGAGGTTAAAATGTTCTGACCCCAAAAGACCTTAGCATGGGATGTCCAGAACTCTGTTTCCTTAAGGTTGGAATAGCCTGTTCCAAAGTTGGAATGGAATAGTTCAGGGTCAAAACATTTCAACTTCCAATTCTTTACTCCTCTACACATGATTCATTCATTTAGGCTTGGGGTAGAAAACTGCCCTCCAGAGAAGAGGAAAAACTTGATATACCCAATAATATTAATAAGATTAAGCCTTGTTCAGCCTAGTCCACAAATCAGTTGATAAGGAGCACTTACATTTACGGCTTGTCATCCTACTACGATAATGTGCAATTGTGACACAGCCTTTTCCTGTTCTGATGCAAGTAACATCTTAAATCTGTTCTGAGCAATTGGATGTGGTGGTTCAGATCTTTTCCATTTGCAGGATTTATCTAATGGCCATCTAAGCCATTTTAAAGGTGAGATAAAAGATTCTAAAAGGTATAGACAAGCTAGAGCAGTACACTGAAAAGAATAGGATGGAATTTAACAGGGATATATGTAAAGATCTGCATCCAGGTATCAGTAGTACAAGTGAAAAGGATCTGAATGTCCTTGTTCACCACAGATTAGACATGAGCTAGCAGTGTGATGCAGCTGATGAAAAAGCAAATGCTAACTTGGAATGCATTAATAGGAGCACAGAGTCCAGTTCATGGGCAGTAATTGTTCCACTCTGCTCTACCTTGGTCAGACCCAACTTGGAGTATTGTGACTAGTTCTGGGTATCACTATTCAAAAAGGATAGTGATGAATTGGAGCAAGTTCAGAGGAGGACTACCAAGATGACAAGGGGTCTGGAAACCAAGCAGTTAAAAAAGATGCATATGTTTAGCCTACAGAAGAGAATATTAAGGGGACGTATGACTGATCCTCTGTTACCCCAGAGGACAGGACCAGAACACTAGATTCTAATTACACTGCTAGATATTGGGAGGAATTCCCTGATCATATGACCTATCAGTCAGTGGAACAGGTTACCGCATGAAGTGGTGAGTTCTCCTTTGCTACAGGTCTTCGATGGAAGCCAAATTGTCAACTGTCAGAGGTGCTCTAGTGGGTCCTTCACTGAGCAGGAGGCTGGACTAAATCACCTCCAGTTCTGTGGTATATGAATAATGACTTCTAGGATGGAGGGTGGGCCAAATTCCAAGCAGATCAGGTGTCCTCTTGTGTCTTATGGAAAGCTAGCATCTTACACTCTGCCATTACTTGCATCAGTGTACAGTAAATTTAACATGTGTTTCTTAATATAACCCAGCCTCACAGACTAGCAAAAAATGCAAAACAACTAATTGGTGATAGGTGGAAGTGTTTTGATTCTCTTTGGAACATAATTATGTGAACTGAGCTCATAGTAAAGAATTTGTTTTATTGTAAAATAATTGATACCTCCAAATAATGTTGAAGCTGTTGACTATATTTTTAAGGGCAACAGATCATCATCCTGTGCCTTCTCAACATTCATATTTGACAAGAGCAGCAAGCAAAAAAAGAATGTAAGTGGCAAATTCTTGGTAATTTCATTGCATTTTTTAAATGGTGACTTATTTTGTTTTGCGGTCTAGCAACTTTGGGTTTTTTAGTTCCAGTTCTCTGCAAAAGAATGCTGTTTTGACATTCAGCCTTAAATGTATTTACTTAACATTTAAACAGCAAAGTCATGTTGCAGTTTAGACAACAATTGTATTTTCTACATGAGAATTCAATGTTCCTTATTTGCAGAGAAACATGTGAGTGAAAGAAAAACAATAAAGATTATTGGTTGTTAAAGATTAACATTTTTATTATTTTATAAATCTTGATGGAGAAAAATTCATCATATACCATTTAACCCAGGTGTTTTATAGAGATAGGAAATCTTTTGACAGAAAAATTTATCTCATAATTGGATTTCAGTATCATTTTTACATGCTTTAGTAAAAATAATAATAGATATGGTTCATTCCTTATACATTTAATGTTTAACCATAATTTAATATCACCATTGGTATTCAGTCTTCAACAATTATTTATACTTTCATACTTAATAATTTACTAAAGTTTATTTTCCTTATGTCTGGTTAATTATTACGCTGCATTTTACCTTGGTTTGTCCCAGTATATGAATATCAATCAACTTGCTATCTGTACAAGCACTATTTGTAAAGGAATTTTAGAGTTTGACAACTCCATTGTGTGGATGCAAAACAGAATCAGTGTCTGCCATACCTCATTACATCCCTTTTCTCTATAATTCCATGTATAATGTTTCCTAAGAATGGAAAGTGTATATGTTGATGAGTGTGTAGTTTCACAACTGACCATCAAGCAAAGTCCTGTTTGCTTGACTGACCTGTCTTACATTGGCAGTGCATGAATTCAAAGGGATTATCTGAAGTTTGAAATAGTGTGTTTTACAATTTCAAAATTTGAAATGCTTAACATAGCGGAGTCTTCCTTTTTCTGAGGAGATCACAGTACTGTTTTGAATTGTGCCTGCATCATACTTACTTTAGCAGATCTTGGATTTTTAGCTTTTTCTAGGATAATTAAAAAAAAAAAGTTCATGGTCTTTAACACTGCATTGTGCTTCTGCCAGTGTCTTGTGAACTAGATTTCAAATAAGCTTCTGTACAGAGTTTTTAACCAAAAATATTCCCAGTTGGATACTTCAGTTAAAGAAGTAATTGTTGGTTTGTAAATATTAAGAATCAACATTTCCGCAACTATGGTCCATTGAAGGGCAAAAAGAGCCTGACATGTAGATCTGTGACCACATCCACCATGTATTTTTGTATGGTTCATAATGTGAGAAAGGAATTTAACCCATTTTCCATTGTAACCTCATTCAAACCTGCTAGCATTGTTGCGAAGCGAGAGGGACATTGTCTTTCCATTGAAGCTAATAGTGGTGGAATATGGTAGAGTCTTCCATCCGTGCTGTTTACTCTGTCAGTTGCCTTTGGAGAGAAGTGGGAGGAAATATATTGTAGTATAAATGCCGCAAGTTAACATTAACTTGTGTCAGAAGTCAGGATGCACATAGGTAAGGGTGGGATTTCCATGATGATGTCACCACATGTTATCATTTTTACTCCATTGCGACTGGCTGTGGATGCTGCTGCTTCACTCTACTTTCCTCAGTAGCTATTGGTGACACAGCTGGGATCTGGTTATATTTTCCCCAGCCAGACTAACAGTAGCTTTGGGGCAGAGGGAAGAGCAGGAAAATGATGTGGAAAGAATGGGGTCAGTGCTCCTCCCGTCTCCTGAGTTCTTGTCAGATAAGCAGTGCACACACATCAGTTCATCACCTTTGAAGTAGAAAAAAAAAAATCAGCTGTGTCATATTTTCTTTTTGGACCATAACATGAAAGACTA